TAACAATAACTACATTATTTGAAACAGCATGAATGGCATTAAAAAATTTCCGAAAGATTTTCTTCAATACAGCAAAAACCATGAAACACTCATCAAATCAGAATCAAATTTATTATTAAATTCACATAAATCTTCCATTTGAACATAGCACATACAATTTAAAAAAAACCCGACTGATTTAAGTAACTAACCATTAGCAGTGTCTTTAAATGCCTTTTATACCAATTTTTTTCAGAATCATAAAGCACTTTTTTATGATAATTCTATTTAAATCCAAATTCTATTATTACCTACATTAGTGTGGTGTATTTTAATTATGGCAAAGCACACTAGGGCTATCTGCCTAAGGGGAGGGATGCCTTTCGTGGAGGACTTTCTAAGGGAAACTAGCTCGTATACACGTTACACATGAGGAAAACCACGAACACGCCCATGCAGCCAGCCCGTTCGCGGGATTCGAACCTCGGACCGAACTACCAGTGTTCAGCGACTTTACCGCTCGGCCGCTGGTGGGCGCATTACCTACATTAGAAATATACTATTATGTTTATAAATAAGAAGCATAAATAGCCTTTTTTATTTTCAGAATCATAACATGCATGAATAGTTTCACATAAATCAAATCTTAACAATAAGCACACTACTTTAAAGAATGTTAATTCCAATAACTAATTTACAAAGCATTTTCTTCAGTACAGCAAAAACCATGAAACACTCATCAAATTTATGATTGAATTCACATAAATCATACATTTAAATATAACACATACAGCATGAAAATAACTTAATTAATTTAAGTGAATATCTGCAACAGTGTTTTACAATACTACAATAGCCTTAAATATCCAGATTTTAGCCAGAATTGCAAAATAATTTTTTTACGTTAATTCTATTTATCCTTCAAAAGTTTTTGTTACTTATATTAGAAATATATCTTTATGAATATAAATAAGCAAGAAATAATTTTTTTACTTCACTCTTATGCAAATAAATAAAATTCTTATTAATAAATATTTTAACCTACAAATATACTATTTTGGGAGATTTTAATGCCATAAAGTTGTAACAAAAGGACTCTTTTCAGTAGTGAAAAGGGTGGCTTGGGAAATGCGGTCAAGAGCAGGAGACTGACGTTAATTACGGAAGGGGAAAGTAAACGGCTGTGTCAAAGATCATAAGAGGAGATATATTTTTTTTTAAAAAGTGTTTTTAGGTCTCATTCAATATCAGTATATCAGTATATCATTAACGTAATTAATGAAAGCCATTTGAAAACAAAATAGGATTTGCATTAGTAAATTATAGTTAAGAATAATGGCCCCCATTGTTCTGATTATTACTGGAATAATTTAAAGATTAAATCCGATAGTATCTTAAGATGTTTTTGCAGTTGGAAAAACAAGAATATAACTCATTTTGATTCACCTTTCTTTTCTTTATGAATGACGAATATCTGTTTGATATACACGTGATCAAATAGGGAATAAGTGTTTAATCTGAAAGATTATAAGTATTGATTAACATATCCTATAACTACTTCTAATTGAGGCTTTCTAAGAGCAACCCCCTTAATTTTGACTCGCAGCTTTTAATTTTAGACTAAAATATGAGCATAGAATCTACCTTTAAGCAATGGGATTTTTTTTAAACACTGTGGCATGACAGTGCCTAGTAATAATAGTCTTAGCGTCGATAAGAATCATTTTCTGGATTTTCATATTGATTTTTTTCCAAAAGGTATTAAAAGCTGCAACTGACGAGTATGAGCAATGCATAATACATACATATAAAGCATACCATAAAGAAAAATGAACCCCAACAAAAGCTGATCGACTGCTATTGAACTCTAAAAAGGGGTTTATCAGAGGGAAAATGGCAATTAAAATCAATTAAAATTCCATTTAATTGATTTTAATTATTTATTTACTGTATCGATTTATTACTTATTGTAATTGATTGGAATATTTGAATATGAATTAGCTGAATATTTAAGAAAAATATATGACTGCGAGAATAGGAAAAAAAAAACATTTTTGAATATTTACTTTCTAATAGAATGCAGATGAATTCATTTTTACTCAACGAAAATCAAAATTTAGTAGCTAATTAATCTGTCCTGTATCGAGCACTTTAGTTCAGTGATCCGTATTAATGTGCGCCTTTTTAAAAAAAAATTAAATGCTTCAAGAATAATTAGAAAAGTGCATAATTCTCTTCTTATCCCTTAAATTCTTCAATAAAAAAACTGCATTTTCGGGTATAACTAAGGTGAAATAATTCTCTAAATATAATTCAAAGCATAAAAAATAATGGTACATAAACAGGCTTGGGAAATGGAACTAGCATTGAGATTCTCTTTAAGAAATATGGTAAAGCTTAACAAAAAGACTACGAAGTGAAGTAATTCCGCAGAATATTTTCAAACTCTTTATGATTAAATTGCACTCAATTATACTTTATAAACGACATGTAAATACTATTTAATGTATATGTGAGGATGTGTGTGTGGCTCACTAGCGGCTGAGCAGTAAAGTCGTTGAACTCTGGAAGGTCGATCCGGGGTTCGAATCCGGATCGACGGGGATGGCATCATTGGCGTTTACGAGGTTTTCCCCACGTGTAACGTGCATAAGAGTCAGTTTTGCTTAGAAAGTTCTCCACGAGGCACCCTTAGGCAAATAACCGTCGAATGCTTTGCTATAATCAAACAAACCAGACCAAACAATAGATATATAAATAAGTAGCTTAAAAAACTGCTATATTTTATTATACTTATCAAGTAGTATTTCAATATATATAATGATTAAAAGAAAGGAAAAGTCGGATTCTAACTGATTGTATATAATGTAATCCTTATTGTATATAATGTAATCCTTATGAAGGCCCTAACAATTCTTTCTCACTTAAAGTCGTAACCCAAAAAGAGAACAAATTAAACTTCAGATACGTATACAATACTCAATCTAATACAAAAAATACAAAATATAAAATTAAATTATATATGTACGAAACCTAACTAACTATTTATATTGTTATTACGTAAATATACGTATGGTAATGAACATTGTATAATAAAGATATTTTATATTTTGTACTATATTTGGTTCCATTTATATATACCTATACATAGATATATATAATTTAAGGATTCCACTTAAGGATTATAGTAGTAGTTAATACTTCTACATATAAAGCACAAAAGTGCATCAATAATGTATTTTTCAGTATTATTTAACTTCATTCTTAAGAATTTTCTGCAGTCTAGTTTGCGTTATTTTATTCATAAGTCTCAAATAAAAACAATTATTGGTTATATGTCATTAGAAAATTAACCAAAAAGCAGCGACCACAATGTAATTGAGAAACAGTCCTTAGCCGTGAAAAGGTTGATGAAGAAGTTGAAAGCCATTCGGTTATGACTATTATCTCACATACTCAGCTACTTCGCATACATGGAACATAGCATTCGAAATGAAAAACTCAATATTTACTACGAATTCATTCGTGTAACAAATATCTGTCTTTCTACACCTATGGCTTTAAAAAAAGATGTTATTTATCTTACAATTTATCGTTAAGTAATACATTTTGATTGTACAAAATTGCATTCATTCGAAGAATTCAATTTGTATTTTCCTCTGTATAAAACTGAATGTAGAGAAGTTAGATGTTTAAACGACCCTCACATTTCCTCAAGACCACGAGCAAAATTATCTCCTACTTTTCAGCCCCCCTGTGAAAAAAGGGGTTCTAAATTTACGACCTGACCGCATATGAGGGTATTTCGTGAAAAGTGTTTAAAACATCAGGATTATATAATAATTATATATATGATTAAGTTGGCAATAACAATTATTTTAAAGTTAGATAAATAAATTTGAAAAGGGTATAAGCAAACATCTGCAATTAAGTATTTTTTCTTTGCGATGCCCTTGAATAACCCGATTTTTTATTTAAATTATGATGTTTTATTTTATAAGACAAATAACAAGATGGTAAAATAATTCTTAAATATTGATTGTAAATTGCTATGATAATAAAAAGTGCTTTTCACATAAAAATTGCTTTTCACCGATTCTTGAACTTTTTCAGTTCTCTTTTCTCACTTCTTTCAAGGGACTTTAAAGAAATGTTTTTTATATAATTGTTCAAACAAATATTAAGAAAAGACTTGACGACACTCATGATTATTATTTCATATGGCAAATGACATTCACAGCATCTCTCACTAAAACACACTACATCATTCATTTTGAGATGAGCCTCAGTTATTTTTTTAAGAAGCTGGTGTTGTTTTCCATTGTTGTGGATAAAATGCTTCTCATACGTCGTATTTTTCAGATATAATAGTTTGGAAAAGTAAATATGCAATTCATATCAACAACACCATATTTTCTGTCGGGAATTTTAAACCTCCTCGATTTACAATATCAATATATGCATAATTTGTTTCCGCTAATGTACCATCACAAGTTTCAACTAATAATTCTTTGTCCAAGACACAGAAATCTATGCAAGCACTGCAGTTAGTTTTAATATTTCTTGTGCAATAACCAGCAATGTATGTGAGAACTTCTGCATCAGTGTCCGAAACTGCAGCCAATTCTACAGCATTGCAAATAATTTCATTAAAAGGTGTAAGATCAACATCTTTACTCATTTCTTTAATGTCTGAAAATTCTGTAACAAACTGTTTTAAAGAGATGTTACCATATGAATTAGAATGAAGCTGAAGAATGGACTTCAATTTAATTTTTCTTTCAGACTCCAGAATTTGCTGAACTGAAACATGGTAATTTCCTCCAGACATCTGACGATATTGCGAAAATCTGTATTCCAATTTATCAGTCTGAAATTTGGAAGTTTTAAAATAAATTTTGAGCTATTTACTAAAAGCTCTTTAATTACATCGATGATTGCATTTGTTGTCTGATAAAGAGCAAAATAAGTTTCCTCGCTTAAACATCCGCAACGAGACTGTTTCCATGTTTTTCCACTGCTCAAGCCAACAACAGAATTTTTCCCAAAAACCTGAATCTTTTATCATCAGGTGCAGTAAATGCTTTGCTGTCTTCACATTTTATATAAAGGCTTTTGTTTAGGTGGCTCACATTCATAATGTTCCACCATTTTCTGATAATTTGCAAAAATTTTACCGTATCCTGCCAATTATCAATGCAGTGTTTCTTTCCCAATAATTGAAGAGCAGCATCATTACTCTCATGAAAAATATTTACAGCAAACTTCACATTTTGTTTTTCTAAACTTGAAGGATATAAACTTTTGAATGAAAGTTTATGGCCCATTTTCACAATTGAGGTCTTCTCCTTATGATATATATTCCTTAGATGCGAAAATTTAGGAATTATACATTTTGATGGATCATCAAAATCAGGACAACAAAATGTTTTTTGGGTGTCTAACTGATTAATCCAATTATTTCTTATTGATTTCAAAAGGTGTACCGAATCAAAAAGTAAGAATAATTTTTTCTCGTTATTTGCAGGGTTGCAGACATGAGTTGACATTTGTTTATGACCTAACTTCTGAAACATGTTCCTGTTTATTCTGTTGTTATCAGAAATCATCGAAACAACTGAAAATCCTGCTTCATTCAGAATATGAAGAGCTTTGCGGGTCAGGCAGCATAAATAATCTGCATTCATATTATTAACAGGAACTAAGGCAACAGTTTCTTTATAAGATGAATAAATAGAGCTTATCATGAAAGCTTGTACAGTTGTAGCTTCAGTATCGGATTTATTTTCTGCAAAACCTGATATTGATTTCCCTTTATAAGCGATTGATTTCTTTACATAGATTTCATCAATTAGTAGATTTACAATTCTATTTTCATCGTTCAATTTGTTGAATTTTTCACTCATGTATTTTTTTGTATTCTCATTTTGTAACGAATTGTCGAGATTCAGAATGCTTGTAATTTTACCTAAATGATCGGTTGATGGCATTGACAATAAACCGCTGTCGTACAACGAAGAATAACATGATGAGGACTTCATGTATAAAGAATATGCAAAAATTAAAAGTTCACTGCTGTACCTTCGAGCCATTTTAGATTTATCACACAAGTTCATTTGCTCTAATATGAACTTTTTTATTGTCATACATATCTTTCATCAGGAGAAATGCATTTTTTCCAATGATACACAGAGTTTTCTTTTTCACTAGGAAGCACTTCATTTAAGTCATCTTTCTGCATATTTTTAATGAAACTTAAAATATTTTCCAGTTCACTCCATCGTAAAAGATTATCTGGGTTATTTAGAATAATTTTGAAGTGAGATACAGGAACAGAAATATCACCAAGAAAAACATTTAAACTCATATCATTATTGATTTTTATGCTTGAAAGTACCCTTGGTGCTGACAATAAATTTAAATTAATTAAAAACACATGATCACTGTTTTTT